TCATTTTTGGGCCGTATAACGGAACAGACCCGACAAAAGTATAAAATTAGAAAAACATATAAGTCAATGATTTGTTAAGATATTAATAAGGCGGAAAATTTAAAATTGGATAAAAAATCGCTAATCGTTTGTTGAACGTTATAATTCAAGAAAACCTAGATAATTGCACAGAAGAAAGAAGTAGTCAGAGACATCTTTATTGCTAAGAGGCGTTTCATGGACTCATGGACATTCAGAGAGACTTTTGTATTAGTCCGGGTGCAACTCCACAAGACACTCTAAAATCGGCAAAGTGAAAAAAAAGGAGCACAAAGGGCTCCTTGTTTACAGAAGCAACTAGGCATTTTGCAATATTCGAGCAATCGAACCCATTCAAACCAAAACTCATCACAGAAGTTCGGGATTGAGCAGAAACGATCTTTTTCTGTACAAAAAAAAGAAACTATCAAAAATAATTAATCGAGCTCAGGCAAACTCAAATTGGCCAAATGGAAACATTCCAGATATTCAAAACCGTGTTTTTTTGTGGTACCAACTTCTCGCCAACCATAAACAATCTTCTCCAGCTCGCGGTGTAACATGCCGAAGTTGTAGCAAGAAAGGTCACGTTTGCGAAATCATTTGCAAACGGAGCAGTTGCCATCATCATCGGGTGCAAAACAATCGTCGGGTATCTTGATCAATCTTATGATTCATAATTTGGAGAGAAAGAAGTGGAACTAATTCGGAAAATTTATTTCAAAAATCGAAAGAGACTTATTTAAACTTTTCTAAGGTAAAACTGCTCGTGTTACTGGAAACACTTACATTACTGACAAAAATAATGTTATGAGAGAGAATCATATTTCGGTTTGCGTTAGGTAAAAAAAAATCACGTTTTTCAGGCAAACAGACTTCTCCAACTAAAAAGGGGTGGGATGCCGCTCGTCGACTTCATATTTTGGTTTGCGTTAGGTCAAAGAAATCGAGTTTTTCAGGCAAACATACTTCTCCAACGAAAAAAGGTTCGGAAGCCGCTCGTCGACGTATTATGATCTAGCTGCTCGTCGACGTCCTCACCCTATGAGAGCCACCATCTTCTTCGACCGAGTATCACGCGCTCCAAAACTGCCTTCAAAACAGTCATGGTCCCGATTCGTCCAAAAGCAGCCGCCCTATAAACGGTCTCAACTCCTGTGCCACAAAAAAAAGGAAATAAAGTCTTGGCTGATGAAGTTAATTCGGACGCTCCGGGCATAGGTCCTTGAGCAAAGCGGACTCAACCCGGTGGTGGACCTAGCAGTCTCTACATCCATGTGTGGAAGACCTTTAGATCAAGTTGCCGTCGCTGTCAAAAACCCCACCGCTGACATGCCTCGATCTTATCCCAATTTCGTCGGATAATGAAACTCACTCTCCGCGTAAGGGTTATTTTACTCCCTAGTGCCAGCTCATTCGCCAAAAGCCGGGGTTGCAATTCCTCCAGGGGGCTCAGATAGGGAGGATAAAACATGTTCCGTTTTTAGTTTATCCAGGATTTTGTCACGCAGATAAAACACACTCTTTTCTACATTAGCCCGAATCGCCCCGCGATCAATGAGGTCGCTTCACAATTACCACCGCTTCAATTTCAGTAGCAAGTCCCAAAAAAGTATCATCGGACAAACGTGTCCATCTTGCCCAGCCAGACTCATCGACACAAGAGCACACTCGGGGCAAATTGTTCCAAAATTCGGAATGCTACTCAAATAAATTCATTCACTTCCCACGACCAGACTCAGAAGGTGAAACAAAAAACCTGCATTATGAAACTTGAGTACATTTTCTTTTTTTCATTATACTGAGTACAGTTTCTTCAATTTTCATTTACAGTAAAATTTGTGGCTTTATTTCAGTTGAAATGTCTTTCTCAAATTTTTTTTGGGAGAGGGAAGTGTGGTGCAAAGTAGTCTAAGCACGTGGTATTTATGTTGAAACTCTAAGCAAAAGGTCAAGTGAGTGTTCACTTTGGTTTCTGTCAGTTGGAATATCTTATTGTCGACATTTTAACATTTAAGTTATATTCAGTCATGACCATGCCAATTTGAATACCTGCCAAAAGCGCAACGGCTTTTGGTATATCTAGAGATTGATTCTTTGTCTATTTTGATACGCAACTAATTCTGTGCAACTAACTCTTAATTCAACCTTTTTAATTAACTCTTAACTTAGCCTAGTTACCTTAGTCTTTAATCTAGTCTTAGATAAAAGCCTACAACTAAATTGTAGGAATCTTAAACCAACCAGTCTTAAACTAGTCTTAGTTAAATTTTAAACAATTTCAACCAAAAGACGGTTTTATCCTAATTTCTTAACATGGCGCAGTCGGCAGGATTCCAAAAAACTGCCCGATATTTATGCACGGCACAACACTAGACCCATGCGATCTAGACAACCTCCGACGATGCTGCGAGAGAGAGTGTTTATAAGCTTAGTAGACATATCGGACGAGAAGCCAGATGAACAAACATTTCATCGAATCCACACCCCCCCCCATATTGCCCAACGATTGAAGCAACCACTATTGAAATGGAAAGCCACCAAATTGACGTGGTAGATCTAACCACCCCGACATCACCTTCAACATCGCATCCAACGACAGTTTACTTATTAGAAGGAAGTTTTGAGCATTCGAGTGGTATAAAGTCTCCCGAAACACCCGCACAAAGTACACCACACAAGAAGGTTAAATTCAGCCCTGAGGTTCGTACTACTCAATTTAGCCCATCGGGCCTACCCTCCGAATCAACCGAGTCAACATCTACACCAATTGTACTCGATCCAGACTGGCTAAACACCCCCTCTATCATTTCTGCGATAGAACTCCTAGGACGGCCAATGACGCTTGACGAACTGAAGAGATGAACAATCAATCGAGCCGCAAACCGGCATGCAGCTTAGACCTCTATGAGGATTAGTAAGCTCGCACATTAAAACTCAAACTTTCGGAAATCTTTCATTAATTAACTTTCTTTAAATTTAGTTTTTTTTGTTGATGCGATATTGTTTTCCATTATGACGCAATTATAGTCGAAAAGATAACCCTGGGCTGTCCTGATAAGCTACAATTTGGACTAACTCTGAGTTCCTTTAGTTGTTAACCTGAGTCCTTAACAGTACAATACAATTATTGACGGCCAAACCATTATCTCACCCACCGGGTGCTATCGTGGGATAAAATTTACCATCTCACCATTCAGGTGCTAACATCTTGCCCATTGGGCCCTAATGTAGGGCTTTTCCGACCAGTGTACTCTCTACTCCATTTCTGAGCCAGAACATTCCTTTTGTGTGGCGAAAATATATGCTATAGTTAAATTTTCGTGGAGAATGTCAAATGTGATATCTTATTGTCGACATTTTAACCTTTAAGTTATATTCAGTCATGACCATGCCAATTTAAATACCTGCCAGTAGCGCAGCGGCTTTTGGTAGATCTAGAGATTGATTATTTGTCTATTTTGATACGCAACTAATTCTGTGCAACTAACTTTTAATTCAACCTTTTTTACTGAACTCTTAACTTAGCCTAGTTACCTTAGTCTTTAATCTAGTCTTAGATAAAAGCCTACAACTAAATTGTGGGAATCTTAAACCAACCAGTCTTAAACTAGTCTTACTTTAAGTTTAACCAATTTTAACCAACAGACGGTTTTATCCTAATTTTTTAACAGTTGCCAAGATCGTTGATCTCTATTCGTTTATTGTCATGACATAAATATTCATTTATATCATACTTATTTATTTACATTGCAAGATAAATTAGAGTCTTGATTTTAGTTTTTTTTTTATTCTAAATGCATCGAGGTACCACAGCTCAACACGGGCAATAACTCGACGAAAGGGTTCTGTTCCATTATACAGCCCAAAAATGATAATTTTGACAATTTTGACAACGGGATTAAGTGTGACGAGTATGCTCAATTCTGATTGGTTAAAAATCAGACCAGCCGACGGAAGAGCTGGAAATTTTTATTCTACTGAAGATCATTTCTCTAAAAAATACAAAAAATGACCAAAATCTTTGCTATATTATCAAACTACCAACTAAATTTTGCCTGTCCTATAACGCCTCAACTTCTCAATAAAAACTTGAAACCGTAGAATATTATTTGTTCTGTTTATTGTCACAGTTACTTTGGTTTAAAAATTTTGGCGTGCTGTTTTTCATTTTTGGGCCGTATAAGAAAAACATTAGAAAAACATATAAGTCAATGATTTACTAAGATGTTAATAAGGCGGAAAATTTAAGATTGGATAAAAATCGCTAATCGTTTGTTAAACGTTATAATTCAAGAAATTCTAACACATAATTGAGAAACACAAGACTCATCGTATATCAGTGCAAAGCCCTGAATGTTCCGACTGCCCTTTAAACACAGTCGAAGAGTTTTGATAAAATATAAAATCGAAAAACTGTAAATTTTGGACAAAATCCAAGATCAAGTGTGAAAACTTGAGTCGTACAAAATTAATACGACAAATTAGCTAGCCTCAATTCAATTTAGGTTGATTTTTTTGTGCTGAATAATTCGCCACGCATAAAAACTTGCAGTGAGCTTTCAGGATTTTGGATGAAATCTTCAAAGTCCACAAAAGTCAGTGCAGAGCATGGCCGAATTGACAACGTTTAAAATCCTAAAAAAATGTAAAAATGATCGGAGGTAAAATGTTTTTTTTTAAATTGTTTTGAGATGGTAGATATCGTCAATTAGGCATAAAACTCTTTTCTTGAAAACTATATTTCGATCTCCGAAAACTGGCTGAATAAAAAACCACACCAAACATGAATAATCCGTTTTCTTCTGAGGCAGGAAATGAAGTTGCCAAGGATAACACAAAAATCTAAATGTTTTACTCTGACAGGGCGTTAAATTGCAAAACAAGTATGGCACTCTTGAAGCTTAAAAAAATCAATCTAATCATACAAAAAAAATGGAAAACATTCAGAAACATAATATCAATATCCATGGATAACATACCCATTCGAGTCAAAATCTCGGAAAACAAGAAAAGCCTGGTCAGTCGGTTTCCAGAAACATTTCACGCGTTCCACCTGCATAGTAGTAGCACATTCGTCAGTATTGGGGCTTAAGTTTATGGAACAGACCTCCTCTTCCGTTTTGGCGCTCCACGAAGTCACTTTTCCGTTCTCGTAGATGACTAGAATGTAAGTCGTGTCGTGTTTGTCCCCCTCATATTCGCTTTTAAACACGACTTTGTCCAGGAACCCCATTTTGCACGGGTTGGTGTTGACAGGGGCTCTCATTTTGTCGTTCAAATCCTAAATTGAAACAGCAATTAGCAAGCAGTTCAAATATCCTTTGACTTAGCGTTTTAATGTAGTTTTGTAGTGGCAATGTTTTAAAACCAATGTCATAAAACTGAAACTCTTACAATACATTGTTGACAATATCAGAGAAATTGAAAGAAAACAGTAAAATCTAAAAACCGTAACACACCGACACGTACCTTTATATTTCAATTGAAAAAACAATATTCAGCTTTCATCGTCTTCGTGAGCTCTTTGTGATAACGTTTTTACTCATGATCTTTGCTCTCTGCTTGATGATGATAAAGCATATCACAGCCAGAAATATTCTAATAAGATCATTTGTTATCCAGGGGTCAGATGAAATATACCTGTCCATTGATCCTTGACCAATAAACTTTTTACAAAAGATCCAGATGTGTTTGGTATTGAACATAGTGCTTTTGGTGGGACATGGAAATATAGAGGTGAAGCGGAATATACAAAAAAAAACAAGGATAGCCCGTTACTGTGCAAGTAGCACAAAATGTTTTGTCCAGTCTTAAAAAATTAAAACAACAAAACTATTTTTCCAATTAGTGTCGTTTTTTCGGCTTAGTTTGAAAAATAAACTGAGCGAAAAAGTAGAGCTTGAGCATTTTCGTCAGTCATTAAAAAAAATGCAAATTGGAAAACAGTTTTTGAAGGCAAATAACAAAAAAAAATCAATAAAAAATTTTTGTGAAGTTTTTTACTCCTAGGGTGAAGCTAAAAACTCCAAAAACTAACTTCATATGAGAAAAACAAATTTTCAAGGCTTAAACTAGGCATAAATAAGCTCATGTAAGCCTGCTCAATTGCTCGAAATTAGACGAAAAATCAATAAATTCAAACCCGTTTTTCTCGATACAAGGAAATTTTTTTTTGGATTTGGTTCGAATCTAGTCTGAAAAGACTTTGATATATTATATCACTCAATCCAAAACAATCATTATTTGTGGGACCTGCTTTTGCGTAGAAAAGCAAAAAAAACTAAAATACACCCGAATACAAAGTTCCTCCCCATTTTAATGAGCGTTGTAAGCGCCAAAACAAGTGAGGAAATAAACGCAGCTTGCAAAAGTAAAAAAGACTACTCAAACCAGGACAAAGCCTTGAATGGTCCGGCTGAATTTCAAGGTATCTCAATAAAGTTTTGATTGAAAATTACAACACAGAAGTGAAGCTTCGCTACGCAAACACTAACAAGAAAACGAAACAAAACAGCTCTATAAAATGCAAGGAAAAGTAGAAATAAGCTTCAAATTAGAAAAATGCAACTTCGTCTCAGATTTGATTGGCGACCTAGAGATAAAGAGTCTCATGCCCTAACCACTCCGCCACGCACACTTAAAACATTTCAAACACAACTAGCAAAGAACAGATGCTATGAAGTTTCCAAAACCAGATTGTGATTATAGCAAAAGTGCCACTAAATAAGTTAACACTTTCCGCTTTCAATGAACACCTTTATTTGCGAGTTAGGCTAGAAAAAAGTAAGTTCTAATACACTAGCTACTCGTAAACATAAAAAAAACCATCGTCTATTTTTTTGAATATCTCTACCCGTATACAATGCCGAGTAAAACGGGTATTTTCTCATCTGAAAATGCGCTATTTGGACCAGTTTGTTATCATTTTTGCAGCTTACAGTACGCGTTGATGAAAAACTGGCAATGAATGGGCATAATTTTCCTAAATTGGCAGCTTTCAAATCATCATAACCATTAGGAAATGTTCAAAGCTGGAACATCTTTTAAAAGTTTAGTTTAGGGCATCAACATGTTCTAGAGTGTATCAAGAATTCGGTAAAAATTTGGGTTAAAACTTATTTTTTTAATTAAAAAAACGCCTATAAGAAGTACTCCGTCAGTTTTATCAAAAACCATAACAAAAGATTGCAACAACTTCTAGCGAGTAATTTATACAGTTTTGAAATAAAAAAGTTTGTTAAACAAAAATAATGCTTCTAATTAGATATCAAATGAATCGGTTGTTGTTGATTGCACTTTTTACCTGAGAGAATCGATCCGCAGTAGCCATTTTGCTCTGTTTTTTGCTACACACTAGCCTCAAATTATCGACATTTTTTATGCACTTTTAATACAGGTTATGGTGTCCAGAAAACAATACGACAGTTGTTAAGACAACAACCGTTTATGATGAGACCTTAAGACGACGCTGCACGCAATTTTCCAATTGTATATCTGGGAAATATAAGCCGATATAATATAGCCCGAAATCTACTTAGTACGCACAAAAAAAGTTTTAAAAAAAAGCCGATATCAAGCAGGCCTAAACCTATAACGCCGAAACAAAAGGAAAAACAAACAGAAAAGCCGACAAAAAATCGATGTCACGAAAAATTTGAACTATAATTTCTGTAAGGACGTTTAGCATTTTGTGCAA